TTTCATAAAAACAAAGTTGGTTTAGGCGAACTGGTCTCAGGGGGAACATGTTCTCAATTGGGCTCCACCTTTGATTGGCGTAATATAATAATGTATCAGGTTTCAATAGAGTGAAGTTGTTGATTAGGTAGATGTATACGGTGGATTTGTTGGAATGATTGGGTGTTCAAGGAATGCGATGTGTCCAATGTTAAACTCAACATATGAAACACACTAAGATATAAATAGTCAAACGGTTAAACAATCAAACAGTTACAGTCTCCATAGCTCACATGTACACATCTATAGGATACATCGACTATTCCCGCTGTTCTCCGCCTCGGCGTCCTCCGAAAGCGGGTACGATCTCTTTTATACTTAATCGTACATTCCCTTCTTCATATTCATACATATCCTCATAGAAACCACCATGGCCGAACTCCCCCGCTATCGACGATCCCCTCCCTACCCCAAGAGGCCCAGCTTCGGGTGCTCGATACCCTCTTCGAACCCTCTCCAGAGCTCCACCGACTGATGATTCCCGTGCTGGCCAACCAGACCTTCTCTTCATACACCACCCTCATCGATGCGGTAGGAGGTCGCATGTCGGCACTCTCAGCCGCAAATTCACCTACCGACCGAGACGTACTGTTTGGCATTTTGGGGTCGCATCCACGTCTTGGCCGAGCCCCAGCCAATCCGGAACATCTGAGCGAGCTGAGCAAAAAGGAACAGGCCCAATTGAACGAAGGCGCCGAGGAACAAGCGGAGCAATTACGAGCACTCAATGCGGAATACGAGGAGAAATTCCCGGGGTTGCGATTTGTGTAGGTCCATGTTTCTTGCGCAGTGATCTATACATGTTGACTGGAGATGTATAGCACGTTCGTCAATGGGCGCAATCGCGACGTGATTATGGTCGAGATGCGCGAGCGCATTGACCGGGCTAATGCGGAGAAAGAGATTGAAGAGACCATTCAGGTAATGTCCTCTTATCGAGTTACTTACTATGGATGTATGTACTGACTTTGAAGGGTATGTGTGATATTGCAAAGGACCGTGTGAGAAAGATTCAATCGCGCATTTAATATAATTACTATTCTCAATTCTCTATTCCATACTCTTAACTGTCATCTTCTCCATTTAACATTCTCATTAAGCAATTAAGCAAACCCTGGAGGGTCCAGGTCTCCACCCCATCTCCCCGAATTTGATGTCATCCAGCGCTATCCGGTCGTTGCCGCTTTACTTCCTTTTCTTTCTCTCTTTTGTTAATCGCAAGTCTCTGTGAACATACATCTGCATTTGTATATTACCTGATACCCCTCATGCGACTGAACACATGGCGGAGGGAAGCAACAATCTACAACTCCGAGTCGCGACGACCCCCGCGATAGCCGATTTGAGCCCCGGAAACTCGACGTTTCCCGGTAAGTGGGATTTTGCAATTTGAATATCGAGACTTGAATCTTGAGAGTTGAATCTTGAGAGTTGGATCTTGAGAGTTGGATCTTGAGAGTTGGATCTTGAATCTCCAGACTTGGCCAAACTCTATATTCGGTCCCTGTCTGGAGAACTCCAATGCGCGAAAAAGAACAGAAAAATCTTATGGAAAGACGCTGACAGAACTGCCAGCCTCGGCCACATCGGATGTCCCCTCGGGCTCAACTCATAGTCTGCACGATGTTCGAAATACCAAACGCGCAGTCATTGGTGGCTCTCATTCGACCTTGAATTCCCCGCACGAGAGGACCGAGTCAAGTGCTATAGATCCGCTATCGCAGGTAAGCTCTCACAGGAGACTTGCCACACCGAATTGGCCAATACTTCCGGACCGATCATGTGCTTGTTTGCTTTGTGCAACCCGCATCGGAGATGCAGATACGAAGATGCAGCCAAGCTGACAGGAGGGCCGTGCTCTGTCGTTATAGCACATTATCCAACGCACCAATACCCAAAAGTCCATTCCCCTGAAGTTACTGGGAAAAGCGTCATACGAAGCAGAGGCTGTGGGCTCCGAGTACGGCCAGGGAGACCGAAGCCCGATACGAGGAGATGCATTGCCTACCTCGAAACATCCCAGAGAGAAGAAGTGAGTTTTTAGACTTTGCCATGCCTTGGAAACACAAGTTACGCCCGACGGCCTGTGTCGCCGACACTTGTGTGCCGGGAGTCTCTTTTCGCCTCCCCCCAGGATTCTCGCCGCAACAATATACGTGATATTACCAGCGACTGACCCGTGGTTTGCTCTTCTCAACTACAGAAAAGGTGTCTCCTTCCTCAGCCGAATCATCGGAGGCAAGAAAAAAGATCAGTTGTTGGAGGTAGAAGATGAGACCTCGGAATCTGAAACGCCCCGCATGTCCATGGACACCTCACATCATCCAATTGGATTCATACCTCGACACCCTGCTCCGTCTAAATATCTGAAGGTGCGAGCCCAGTACAAAAAAGAGAAGACGTTCGACCGCGTGTTTCTAGCACAGGAACTGGAGGGCAGCGGCCCATCGCCCAAACCCGCAGATAGACGGATATCTACGTCCTCGGCCTTGCCACAGAATGGTGACAACACCGGAAGGGCCGTCTGGGCACTCGTATTCTCTAAAGATGGTAAATATCTCGCGGCCGCTGGTCAAGACCGGAAGGTCCGAGTGTGGACAGTTATCGCTACACCAGAGGAGCGCGAGGATGCCAATGAGCACGAAAAGGCAACACCCGTAGACGCACAAGACGATTCCGGCCTGAAGGCACCTGTGTTCCAGCCGGAGCCCGCTCAGGTGTATGAGGGACACACGGGAAGTATCTTAGACCTGAGCTGGAGTAAAGTATGCATGCTCAAAACATTCAACACGATGGGAAGCGTCCATGCTGACGTGTGTGCTAGAATAACTTCATTCTTTCCTCGTCAATGGACAAAACAGTGCGACTGTGGCATATCTCTCGACCGGAATGTCTCTGCTGTTTTCAGCACAGTGACTTTGTGACTTCGATCCAATTCCACCCGCGTGACGACCGCTTTTTCCTCGCTGGATCTCTCGATACGAAACTGCGACTCTGGAGTATACCCGATAAGAGCGTGGCATTTGTGACTACTGTGCCTGATATGATTACTGCTGTGGCATTCACTCCAGACGGCCGATACTCCATTGCCGGATGTTTGAATGGCATGCTTAACATCTATGACACTGAGGGCCTAAAGGTATCAGCCCAGATTCATGTACGATCGGCCCGTGGACGCAACGCCAAAGGTAGTAAAATCACTGGAGTCGATACGATCATGGTTCCCAAGGACAACCCCAAGGATGATGACGATGGTGATATCAAGTTACTGGTTACTAGCAACGACTCCCGCATCAGGCTGTACGACTTCAATGATCGGTCGTTGCAGGCTAAATTCCGCGGCAACGAGAACACCTGCAGCCAAATTAGAGCTTCATTCACCAATGATGGCAAGTACATCATATGTGGGAGTGAGGATCGCAGGGCATACGTGTGGCCAGTTGGGTCTGTGCAACAGGATTCTGAAAAGCAGGCTGTGGAGATATTCGAGACACAGTCTGCCATGGTAACAGCTGCAATAATGGCACCCAACCAAACGAAAGAGGTCCTGGCGCTATCAGAAGACCCAATCTACGACATCTGCAATCCGCCCCCGGTAGCCCTAATTGGTCCGGAGTCAACAGACTTTTCAAAGAAATCCCATAAACGCTCTGAATCAGCACCTCGCCTATCCATCATCAGCAAAATGGCCCACGCCTCACCCTCGTACCTCGCACGATCCAAGCATCCAGACGGAGAGATAATCGTGATTGCCGACTACTCCGGCAAGATCAAAGTCCTCCGGCAAGACTGCGCGTATCAAAAACGACGCTTCGAGAATTGGAACGCCAACTCCACCATCTCACGACGGATCCTAAGACGCTCCAACTCTGCACGCCGTAGCATCGCCTCCTCAATCGGAAAGGAATCCTCCCACAAAACTCCATCCGAGCGCATCGTCTCATGGCGCAACTCCGTCGTCCGCCACGGCCGCTCCAGCACAGATGGCTCCCGCACCGACTTCCGAACCCGTACCCCATCCCCCCAGAACCGCCCATCCCTTTCCAGACTAGCATCGCCCCGGCCTTCAAGCCTCAGCCGGAACGAATCACTGTCCATCTTCACTACATCTCTACCCCCATCACCAGGCCGACCACACCCCGACAGCAATCGCACAAGCGAAGACGTCAGCCATGCAAACGCCTCAAACTCTAAGCCGCAACCACCACCCCAACCCCACTTGAAATTCGCCCCGGCAGACCTAGCCGCGACTGATTCACAAGACAACCCACTCTGGATACAGGGTGACCGCAGCTACGCGTACTGGAACAAGATCACGCACGATGCACTGGCCATGCAGTCCCGGAAACCGAGTGACTTGCTCAGTCCGAATCGAATCCCGTCGCATGAGCGCAGGCTGAGTACTTCAGGAGGTAGTATTTTGAGCAGTAACTATTCCTCTTCGATGGGTGATGGAGAGGAAGACGTGCTCAAATGTGAAAACTGTCGTGGGACGAGTTTCCGCAGTGTTAAGGGGAGGGATGGGAAACAGAAGCTGATTTGTTCGGAGTGCCACCGGCCCATTTCTTGAGCTTTTCTTTTCTTTCTTCTTTTCTTTGTTTTTCGATGTATGTGACGTGATGCATGTATGATCTACGATCTACGAATGTACGATCTATGATTTTCTGGGATGTATGGTAGGTTTTGGCGTTTTGTTTGGCATTCTATTGGAGGATTGGAGGATGGGTGTGTTGATATTTTGTTTTACGTATTTGTGATGTCGATATGTGTTTAATGTGTATAGTTCTTAGGCCTTGATAGCAGGGTATGTACAGTACCAGATGCAATGGAAGATGAGATGTGGAAATGGCATATTGTATAGTTGTCCAAGTATGGGAGTTTCTCGCATTCTCCCACGCATTCCCAACCTAGACTGCGAACCAAGCCCTTATAAAGAATTTGACCGTCGGTCCGGAATCGAATCAAGTTTGGGCTCCCTTAGGCTTTCGTGCACCAATCACAAGGAAAAGTGGACGATGTCGCTCCCTTTTCCACTCAGGATGGTCTTTAATATACTCGCTAGTCGGCATCCACTCTTTGACTGCCGTCAAAATGAATCCAGTGCCCAGAAGCAATGATATATATGTGTCCACCGTGCGATGTTGTTTGAAGACTTCCATCCCAAGCCAGTCCCTCTTGCGAAGCCCTTCTTCAGCGTACGAGTCTACAGCCCATGCCGCTGTTCGACCAGCACTTTCAGTCCAAGCCGGTGCAATAATAGGGGCTGTGAAGATGGGATGTTCAACCGAGAAGACGAAATGCCCGCCGGCTTTCAATCCATCGTAGACCTGTCCAATGAGCTCCTTCAGATTTTGGAGATGGTGGAAAGCCAGGGAGCTGTAGATCAAGTCATATAAGTCCTTTTCCAACTCGATCGTATCAAGGTCGCCGATACTGTATGTGACTGCGGGATGTATAGTCAAAGTCTTTGCCCGCTCAAGCATGTTCCGAGAGATATCGATCCCGTGGACTTTTTGAGCTCCGTTCTCTTGTGCCCACCGAGAAAACCACCCAAAACCACATCCAAGGTCGAGCACTTGGTATCCTTGCACATTGCCCACGAGGTCCCTCAACAACGGCCACTCTAATGCGCCGTTAAGGCCTTGCTGCGAGCGAGGCAGCTCACTATAGCCTGCAAAGAACACAGGCTCGTCGTAGGCATTTTGTGACATGAGCCGATTATCTATCGTGTAGAGTCGACGGTTTCAAGCTGATTTGCTCCGTGCCTTGTTGAGCTTCGTGGGGGATGTAATAATAGAGAAGAGAAACGCATTCTCTAGCACAACAGGACGAGTGGTTCGCATATTCCATGTAAGGCTTGGCAGAAATTGCGTGATCTCTGGTTTGTCGCGGTCAGTCACCTCACTTAGACGCTTACATTCGAGGGTAAGCTACTCAATACAGAATGGTGTACGGAGTATGAGAGACAAGCTTCTATCTTCGGAAATTGGCTGAGCCTAATGAAGTAGATGTGGTTGATAGCTCTCGTTTAGAGCTAATAATCGTATTTGATTAGATCTAAAGTAATGCAATTAGTATAGAATAACTAATAAAAGAGAATTAGTTAGTTAGTCAAAGTGGTTCCTATAAATTGCGGAGTGAACCGTATTGATGCCAAGACATGGAAAAAGCCGCCAGCACAACGATAACACCTCCACACTCTCTCCATCCACCAACCTTCCTAACCAGTTTATCTTCCGAGCCTTGAATCCCAGCGGATATTTCATTCTAATTGCGACATCTCATCCTGAGCATTCCCGCGACACCAAGAGAGACACCCACCAATCTGCGCATCCCACCACACCTCAACCTCAGAACCACGAGCTCTACGGACGCTCACCACTACTCCAAAATGCCCTACCTATCCACCTCCCAGGCCTACCTGGAACAGTCCGCGCAATTATTACAAGCGTACCCAGAGACAGTAAGCACCAGAACCCCCCATCCCAACCCACCATCCAATCTTCCACACCGCGTTCCCCCACAGCGGGCAACAATGAACACCAACCGCAAACCCCAATCTAAATCCAAATTTAACTAACAACCAAACCTCCCAGACCCGGATAGTAACAAAATACAACTTCCCCACAAACCGACGAGGAAACGTAATCCGCGCCCACAAATCCCAAGTCCGAAAAAACGCCAAAGCCACCGATGCTTCCTCCACCACCACACCCGCACAAACCCCAATCGCAACCCTCACGCTGAAAACATTCAACCCAACCACCGGAATCTGCCTGCACTACCGCACAAACAAGGCGCAGGAAGTCGGCCGTCTGATTACGAGTCTGGGCAAGCTGGCTGCCGGTGCTGATGTAGCGGGCTTGGGGTTATCGGCTGCGGTGCCTGCTGCCGGCGCGGATGTGGATATGGTCGATGCTCCTGCTGAGGAGGTTGCGACGCCGCCGGTTGCTAGTAAGGCGCAGCCGCAGGCGCAGGGACAGAGTGCGAAGGGGAAGAAGAAGGGTGGGAAGGGGAAGCGGTAAATTAACTGGGTTCCTTTGAATAAGATTCATTGCTTTGTTTCTTATGCTTGTTTTCGCTTGTTACTTTTTATGATGCATTCATAGATATAGGATTGAGGTCTTTCGGTATCGGGAATGACATACCAACTTCGAGTTAGGGCAAAATCCACAGACGGTCTTGTGAAATAAATGGAGTTCCAATAGAGTGTGAAGTAGGGATGGGATAGGACTAGCCAATTGATAACGTATATTTAGGAGGATTATTATGTTATATGACATATACAAACAAACATATATCAAGACACATTGGAGTCATTCGAAGATCTAGATACAGAGAATCCACCATTCATCCATGGGCACCAGAGCCCAGGATAGACCAGGAAAAATAAAAACAAGAAACACCATTCCCATGCGAGCCTTCAAACAGGAATTACATCAATCAATAAGAGACAAAACGGCATAATATCACGTGAAAGGGGAGAGGGTATAAAACAACACAAGAGGGAAGGGACAAGGACTTAATCTAGAAGTCCTCATCGAAGTTGAGACCACCGTCGTTTGAGACCTTCTCGCCCTCAGCGTTGAGTTCCTGCTTGGTGCTGGCCATGACACCAGCCTTCTGGTAGTCACCGACACGCTTCTCGAAGAAGTTGGTCTTGCCGGCCAAGGAGATGGACTCCATGAAGTCGAAGGGGTTGGTAGCGTTGTAGTACTTCTTGTTGCCGAGGGCCACCAACAGGCGGTCAGCGACGAACTCAATGTACTCGCACATCAGCTTGGCGTTCATGCCAAGCAGGCCGCAGGGAAGAGCGTCAGTGAGGAACTCCTGCTCGATTCCGACAGCCTCGACAATGATATCCTCAACCACCTTGGGGTCAGGGCGGTGGTTCATGTGGGAGAACAGCAGACAAGCAAAGTCAGTGTGGAGACCCTCATCACGGGAGATCAGCTCGTTGGAGAAAGTGAGACCAGGCATCAGGCCACGCTTCTTCAGCCAGAAGATGGAGGCGAATGAGCCAGAGAAGAAGATACCCTCCACGGCGGCGAAGGCAACCAGACGCGAAGCGAAGGTTGACTCACGGTCGTTGATCCAGCGGAGGGCCCAGTTGGCCTTCTTAGCAATGCAGGGAACTAAGTGCCAGGTTAGACAATTGGACAACTATCAAGTCAACGGGAGAAGCACTCACTAGTGTCAATGGCATCGAAGAGGTAGGTACGCTGCTTGGGCTCCTTGATGTAGGTATCGATGAGCAGAGAGTAGGTTTCAGAGTGGATGTTCTCCATCATGATCTGGAAGCCGTAGAAGCAACGGGCCTCGGGGATCTGAACCTCTCCACTGAAGCGCTCAACAAGGTTCTCGTTGACAATACCGTCGGAGGCGGCGAAGAAGGCGAGGACGTGGGAGACGAAGTAACGCTCATCGTCGTTCAAGCGGTTGTGCCAGTCGTGAAGATCCTTGGAGAGATCGATCTCCTCGGCGGTCCAGAAAGAAGCTTCGGCCTTCTTGTACATTTGCCAGATCTGTGAAAATGAGGGATACGGTTAGCTTCAATGTTCACGGTGGCAGGACATCTTTGTCGATATCCACTCTACGCGTGGGACGCGTCGACGACGTGACTTACCTCGTGGTACTTGATAGGGAACATGACGAAACGGTGGGGGTTCTCCTGGAGGAGGGGCTCTGTCGCTTCCATCTCCTTGATGGTCAGAGGCTTGGACGCGAGAGCCTTCTCGGTGGGCTTCTCAATGGGGGCATCGACGGGCTTGAGAGACGCGGGCGCGTTCTCTTTGCCAGTCGACTGGAAGTCGAGCTTCTTAATAGGTGAATCGCTCATCTTGAGGTTCTCGAGGGAGGAAGCAGCCTAAGAAAAAGCAAATGTTAGCTCAAACGAACTTCACGACGCGTCGACGCGAGAGGCGAGAGGCAAGAGACGTAACATCACGTACCTGTTTCGAGGGAGTGACTTGAGCGGCCATTGGAACAATTATGTGAGGAATGTGATATCACAAGAACAATTATTGAGAACAAAGGCAGCAGGTAAGAATGAGACAGAAGCCTTGATAGTGGGATTGGAATTTTGGAGTTGGACGAGGGAAGAGAAACTCGATTAAGTACTGCCGATTTCTCTTTAGCGCGACGTGCTAAGTCACGTCGCACGTGACTGCGCGCACCGCTTAGGTAATGCACGGCGCGTGTTTTTCCCAGCCCTTCTTTCCTATTTGGGCGATTTCTTTCTCATGCCACTTGGATCCCAGCGACATCCGAAAGGATAGTCCTTGGCCGAGCTTGGCCGAGCTCCATTCCAGCTCCATTCTTGTGCATGTGAATATAGATTTTGTAGTACTTTGTTTGTAGGTTTGTAGATTCCGATCTTATCTACATCTGTATATCACTCCTTCTCGAATCTGATACATACATAATAGTGAATATCCAATCCATATAACACTATCCAGCCACTACTTATGTAGCTTCATAAACCTACATATAAGACATCAACAACTCCCACGCGTCTCCAATTTTCGGTCCCCACTATTGATCACGATCAGATAAGCCAGACAATCCACTCGGGCACAAAAACACGCGACTCGACTAGCAAAACAATCCGGATTTACGGATCTAATTGGTTTGGTTATTGGTCTAGATCCTGGCATTAGCATGTCATTCGCCAATTTTTAGTTTATTTCTCATGGCGTAAGGGTTTGCTCAACTCCCCACACACGCGTTCCATCTGCTGTACCTGTTAACATGTTCCAAGGGTTATTCTCAAGCGTTAATCTCGACTTGATACATAATGTGCCTAGGTAGTCCATAGCATTTCAAACAAAGCGAGCAAGATGTGGCCGCTCCTGTCAAGTCTCAGGAATGAAGGATCGTTTACCCTTTACCCCATAGGGAAGTTTCTTAGAGTGGACCGAAAAGGAAAGTGCCGATCATCTTAGCTGCGTCACACTTAGGCAGCTAACGTTAGGGGTCTTTGTTTGACCATTTTACAGGGTCAAGTCACATTGGTATAATATCATCGGAGTACTGAGTACAATGACCACAGTTGTCTATATTGTACGGTATATTTATTGACACTGTTCCCAAGGGTCGAATGCAATGTGGCGAGTAATCCCTTGCAAGTGCCATTAAGATATCTCCACCTGCCAGGTTTGAGCTCTGGATGCACTGGCAACCCCACATACCTCTAGACTAGTGGACTAGTGGGAGTACTAGCAGGGAGGTGCCTTGCATCACCACGTGCTAGCGCGTTCTCGTGTTTCGCGATCTGTGCCGGGGAAACCAACAGTGGGGGATCAGATAATGCGAAGGTACATACCCGAATGGAATTTCCAATGCTTGCAATATGCGAATAACAATATGTACAGACTTTCGAATTTTGAAATCAACAGCTACTCTACCAAACGCCAGGTATATTCCCGGTCAGAAGCAATTGTGCGGCGCAGAACATTCGAAAAGAAACCCCAGCCAGGCAATGCATACACTGGTAATGGGTCTCGCAAGAAGACCCCTTCAAAATATATCCCATAAGGTGCTTAGATTCCCTCGCGGAAGGAGTCGGGCAGGATCCGGTTCTCGACACGGCGCATCAGCTTGTTAGTCTGCTCAGCCAGACTCAGGGTCAAGATCTAGAGGTGGGGTTAGTACATGGATACCAAAGCAAGGCTCAACTCCTGCCACTTACAGTGTGGGGAAGGATGCGGGCGAGATGGGCGAAGAAGCCCTTGTAAATGGCAAGTGGACCCTCGGTGCGGATAGTCTTAAGCAAGCAATCAAAAACACCACCGTACAGGTTTCCTGTCTGGTTGTACATACGAGCCATGATCGTGTCTAGAGCGAAGAAAGTCAGCGAAGAACATATAGCCCCATGTTCAAGATGACATACCGGGGGGTGCATGCAGCAGCACACAACAAAGCCAGATGCTGCACTACTAGCCAGATGCAAAGCAGGTCCCTCCTTCATGCCCAGGTGGCGGGTCAGACGGCGCTTGGCAAAGAAATATGTGGGGAGCTGCACGGCACTGCCGAAACTGGTGCGGATCATAGCAGCATCGACACCACGGTAGATGCCCCTAATACCCTCGCTCTTGTAGATCTTGCTAAGGCCATCAAAGGAGTTTTTATAGTTGTGCTGGGTGCCGACGGGGAGGAACGGCGAGTAGGACTGAAGACGGGTCTTCACAAGGAAGAAAGGCGACCCTGCTGCAGCACCAATGACACCCGAAGCAGCTCCTGCAACGACATTGGCACCGAGGGATTGGACCTTGGGATCTTTGTATATAGCATTTGTGAGGTTTGCGCGGATAGGTTCGTAGAAGCCCAGACGGCAGCCGTTAAGCAAGACCTGGTAGATATACTACATGACCTGAATGTTAGATCAATGCGCCTTTATATGCCATTTGGAGAGGACATCACATACAGCAGATCCAATACCTCGGAACAGACCCCGAGGTCCTTCATTCTGTAAAATGACTTTGATGCCGTGTAAAGGGCCCTTGTACATCTTCACTGCCTGATTTTTGTTCTGCAATTCACCCTGCAGTTGAAGGCTTGGAACCAATTATAGTCAGTATAATGGTAGCATATCGGGAGTATCAGGAAACCAACCGAATCTTAACCGTCTCGAAACTATGGGTGACCGTGACTGCACCGCATGCTGCAATGCCACCTGCGATGAACGCGCTGTTTAAGCACAATTGCTGTTAGCGCAGGCTTTGTATATATCCCATACTTAGACATAACATACCCCGCAGTAGTAGACATAGCGCCTTATATGTGACTTGCGCAGATTTGTCGGTTAGCGGAGGAATATCGGACCTGGACAAAATAAATGCGGCCAGTAGCGGAGATTCCACGGGATATGTGCAATTTATTGAGGCTGTATAGCCAAGTCGCAATTTGAAGTATAGGTGAGGAATATGAACGAATGCACAATATTTTCACCTAGGGCCAGATATTGCAGAGGTTGAGTCAAGACGCGCCCTGAGATAACCGTGGACATAAAAGCTTACATGCGGCGAACTGGGACTCGGTGAAACGCTCATTGGTCAATTGAGCCTGGGGCCTCCGGCGTCGGCCCCGGAATTATTATGTCAGCCGAGGCGGTGAGGCGCGCAAAAATACCCAGTCGCGGAGCTTCAATTTGGAGCTTATCAGTTCTATGTGGTTTTTTCCTCTTTTTCACGTTCCCGTCAAGCTCTTATTATTCGCAATCTGCAATTCCTTCATATAATATATCTTAAGGACCCTTCACTGACCATACCGCCATGGCTGAAAGCCAATCAACACCTCAGCAGGGTCCGGCCCCCGCCCAAGCTACCCTCAAGTCGCAGAAAATCACGGATATCATTGACACCTTCAGACCATCCAAGGTATGTCCAATTGAATGTTGGAACTGTGGCACCATTCTGATAACATTATTCTGTAGGGGTTCCACCCTTGTAAAAAAGACCCGTCCAAATACGTGACCTCTTTGGACTTTGATGACCAGGGCGACGTTCTGATCGGAGCCGGGAACGATGATAGTATGCATGTTTATGACGTGAAAGAGGGCAAATACAATAAATCGGTTGCCAGCAAGAAATACGGTGTTCATCTTGCGCGATTCACCCATCACTCTCGCCAGGTCCTTCACGCGAGTACCAAGATTGATAGTATGCGACTGAATGCCTTTGCTTTTGGCTACCCAGCTCACCATTGACAGATAATTTGCGGCTACTGGATCTTCACAACGAGGGATACATACGATATTTCACCGGCAATAACGACCAAGTAACTTGTCTGGCTCAATCCCCGGCCAGCGACGCCTTCATGTCGTGCTCCAAGGACGATACTGTGACATTGTGGGACCTGAATTCCAGGAACCCGCAGGGAAAGCTCAACCTTGCGACACCATACCTTGCTGCCTTTGACCCTTCGGGTACAGTCATTGCAATCGCCTCTCAATCCACAGCTTCAATCCTTCTTTACGACTTCCGCAACTTTGACAAGTCGCCCTTCTCCACCTTCGACCTTGCACAATACGAGGAGAGATTCACACCCTCAACACGGGGACGAGCATGGACTCGATTGGAGTTTTCCAATGATGGAAAATATTTGATGCTTGGAACGGACTACCATGGTCACTTTATTCTAGATGCCTTTGATGGTACACTCAAGGCTTTCCTAGAAGGCAAGAGTGGATCATCTGGTCGTGCTGCACCGGTGTCTACGACCGGCAAGCCGCTCGGACAAGGCGACGCTTGTTTCACTCCCGACGGTCGATACGTTATTGGAGGCAATGGTGATCAGCACGGCATGCTCGTGTGGGACTTGGGACAGATCTCCCGGGGGGCCATCACACTGCAGCCTTCGGCCAGGTTGTCTGCTCCAAATCGCGCGGCCATGGTGGAATACAACCCGCGTTACAATATGATCGCCAGTGCCGACAAGGAAATCATCTTCTATGTCCCTGACGACCACGGCAAATCTTCAGAGAAGTAAAAAAAATCTGATAGCGCGATGGAAAGGACCAAGTTCTCCGATTTTCTCTCAAACTCTCAGCCAATCGTTGTATAAAATATACTGCATGATTGGATGCCCAGCAGAACAATGGCGCCATGTTCAGAAATTGTCAAGGTCAAGAAAAGCGCCTTCTATCCCAACCGTCTAGCAGATGACCGAACCTCTATGCTTATACTTTTCGATCTTTGTCCTTGCCCACCAAACTTCGTGCCGTGTCACAGATCCAAACGTCAGGGCCTTTTAGGTCATCATCGCCTTTCCTGTTGTCCTCAACGGTGGCCTCGATTTGTTTGTCAATTGTGCGATTGCTGGAAATGGTCGTCAAACCGGTGACCCAACCGTACAAAAACACGCTCTGATTGATGTCCGATAGGCCTTGTCCAACTTCATGTACCACTGGATGAAGGCTACCTTGTGTCTTGGCCGCGTCAATGACTGGCTGGGCTGCAACCACTTTGATGGGTATTTTCCAATTTGTGGGCACCTGATAATCAGACAATTCTTGAAACTTCTGGAGAATAGCCTCACGATCGAGTTGTTCGTATGGTGGATCTCCCAGCAACATGCGAGTCCGGCTCTTCTCCGTCTCTGTCCCAATGATTCCGACAATTTCCCGGAAGCGCACTGCAGCCTCTGTCGTGGATACGAGCTCGCGACCATCCATAGCCGGCCAAAGCTCAGAAGTGAGCAGTGGTTTTTCCCGCTCAACTTCGATTTGTCGAACGATGGCTCTATGGAAATGGGGTGATGGCGGGATGTCCTTGATATGAGACAAGTCAGACACCAAGGCAAGGAGTAAAGTGCAGTCGACATTCAGAGTCGAAGTGAAGTTTTTGAACGGTTGAGGCAGCAGATGGTCTAGCCCGGTGCGAGTCTCTGCTGGCAGATTCCCCTGGCAGTCAACCCGAATACCATAGCTCCGCATCTCGTTCAAGACAGCATCAATTTCAGGAACACTTCCCTCTTCAATCTTAGGTATAACAACCCGTAGCCGAGGATGTTTATATTTAACGCGCGTAGCATCAGACGCCTTCTTTAAATCCCGGGCGAGCTTAATGAGCTCTAACTCATCATCGTCATCCTCATTCCCATCTTCATCAAAATTCTGCAAAATAGTCCGTCCTTTACCTCCGTCAGACCACTCATCATCATCACTATCACCCTCCCAGCCCTTCTTTGCCATCTCGAACAAAAGCCGGCTCTCCGAGACAGTAGACACCTTGATCCACTCCTCCCCATCGTCAGCCACAATATCCACAAACACACTCTTGCGCTTATCTTTGTTAGGCTGCTTCTCTGGCTGTGCAGCACCCTCACCCTTCCCCTTCCCTCTAGCACTCTTCCTCTCTGTCGCCTTCGTCTCCCCATCCCAGTAAAACCTTTTACCCAGCGCAACCAACCCAGAACAAGACCCGCTCGCGATCCTCCAGACGGCCTGGTAAAACGGCAAATTGGACGAGCGAAGCGCATGCACAAGCCGCATTTCCAAATCAGGATCACGCGACCCCGTCACCCCATCTTCCATTCGACTTGTTTCCGGTCCCGCGATTGTCCCTCCAATCGCCTCCTCGATCTGCCGTCCTAGCTTCTCCAGCATCCTCAGCTCGGAGGCTACGCTGCAGCGGAATTGGCGCACCTCGACAAGCTGTGGGTTCCGCAGCGTGGTCGCAAGGAGGGATTGGTAGGTGTCGATCTGGGAGAGTAGGTCGTTACATTCTTGGCTCAGCTGGGCTGAGAGGGTCGTGCTAGCCCTGGAGTTGGGTTCCGTTGTTTGGGGTTCTGGCTTTGCGGTGGCTGTGCTTGCGTTGTCGTTGTCGCTTTCTTTGTCGGAAATGGAGGATGGGTTTGCGGGGACGTGGGGGTGCGTCTCGGATGCCATTGTGTGTGCTTAGGCACTGGCTATATGCATGTGATGTTTGAAGATGGTGATATTGCCTTGCATATGCAGGTGAGGCGTCTGCTAAGGTCGTTGTATGTGTTGTTTGAGAGTCGGAGCTGTTGTTTTGATGGTTTGTGGGGCAAGTGCGATAAGACTGCTTTTATCGGTTCTTATGGAGTCAAAACATTTCAAGATCCTTTTCAGCTTGGAATTATGGCATACTGAAATGAATCAATTTATATATTGCAGGACGAGAGAGACTGGGGCTCCCGAGAGCCTCAAGTGGACCTCCGGATGACTCAAAAATCCAGGGCGCCTTCCAACCTTAGTTACCTAGAAGGTTCTGGCTCTAAGACTAAGAAATGAAAAAACAACACCTACAAAGACAAACAAGCCCCATTCAAAAGGTTCTCAATATAACATCTCGAATATCATCTAGGCCAAATACATCGGGTTATTGGTAAACCGATTTGACAATTACTACTAAGGATTCTAGACTGTTGGCAGTAGGTATGGCTAGTGCTCGAGATAAATTCGCTCTGTATGTACATGTATCTATATACACATATATATCCAAATCCAAACAACTCGTATTGACGTATTTGTTCTTCTTGTTCTGCAGTCGTTTCGCACGGCTAGAACAGGCTGCCGCCGCCAAGAGGGCCTTGTCTGCTTCAGATAGTGTTTCTTTGATCCCTTCTATGGCTATGAAAGACTTTAGTTCTTCCTTGGCCCTTTCGACTTGTTCGTCGGTTGGTGCACTGTTTCGGATAAAGCCAATGACGATATCTCCGCTTCGGGGGTTATCAACCCAGTCTGGAACGTTTGCCAACGACTCGCGATTGTGGCGGTAGTAGCTGAGGATGGATGCGAAGCTCTCGCGAGCCTGTTGGTCACTCATGGCCAAGGTGATCGGATAGGCAAGTTTGTTCAGATATGAGATAACTTCATAACATAAGCATAGATCATCTAGTATTGGGTTCCGAATTTAGTTACCTTTTTCAGTAATTGTCGATGCTGTCAGAAAGGAAATTTGGCATTCAGTTGCAGCAGGGTAAAGAGGGGAAGAGGATTAAGTACGGAGTACATACATAATGTATTGAGGAACCCTGCTGACAAGTCAGGCTCAGCCTTGCATATTATCCAATGAGCGCTTTACCGTTCGTCTGAGCGCTGACTATCTTTCTAAGCCTTTTAGGTCGTAGAATCAATCGTTCGCGGAGGGCACCATTTATTGAATCGAAGCACAACTCCATGCCAGATAAATACACAATCATAACTCAAGAAGCTCATCAATTGGATAGTGATCATCGAAACTCTCTTCATCCTTGGTCTTGAGCGTCACAAGCTCGTTCATTTCTTGCTGTTGTTCTTGGTCCAAAAGCTGAATACGGTCATCAAGAGAAGTAAAGGTACCATAATACCGATGATCGATGAATGTCCAATAGATCTCATCGAACATGGAGCTGTACCTTGCTGCTAAACAGACCCAAAATAACCCAGTCTTCATGGAGTCTTCCATGCGTGGAGACAGGCGCTGTGACTCGGAGAGGAGTTGTTGTTCTATCAACTTGCTTTCATGGTCGCCTAGTACTCCCAAAAAGGCACGAAGCCTGGGAGAATACCGAGTTAGAAACAGGTTGAGATCACCCTCCCAGTCCTCGGGGCTTTGCAACAAGAGCCACCAAGGAGCTACCCATGTAAACTCAGCAGGTGCAGCATATGTAAACTCCCAGTCAATAACCCCCGAGGCACGGGAAGAATCGAGATCTATTAGGATATTTGAAGGACGAAGGTCGTCACAATATAGCCGAAAGGGCCCTTGTGGATGCTCGGTGCAGAGTTTCTTTGTAATATCCAGGAACAAACAACGTGCAGTGAATTTCCTCCGGCAGTCCTCCTCGCTGCTAACAGCATCTCGTTGCTGTAGCCGAAGATGGGAGAGATGCTGCATAGCAAGCGATTGGAAGTAGTCTGTGGCTGACCTGAAGGTGTGCGAGGGGAAGACTTCTTCGGGTAAATTTGCAGACACCATTAACTCATTCATGTTGAAGGTCAGAGGTCGCCTGGTGATAGAGAAACCCCTTTCATTCTCTTCGAGCGCACCAATAGAATCAAATTCGTGTTTGGAAAGCTCCAGAACAAGCGCGGCCATTTCGCGATAAGCCCGCTTCAAGCCCCGATCGCTTATTTGCGGGTTCAGGACTGGTCTTCCCTTTGAATGAGGATCTTTGAGGAGTTGCGATAATGGTACTCCTTCGAGAAATGACATAACAATGTAAGGCCCCGCCCAGCAGATATCGGAACCGAACACTTCAGGAATAGTTATCGAAGTATTCTCGCGTATGTATCTCATTGTTGCAACTTCGATTTGGACTTTCTCCCTGCGGAGGATAGCCCTTCCAAGGGCAGCGAAACGAACAATGACATCTGGTCCATCATCATATCTGACCCGATAGCATATATTGAAAGCACCACTTTTCCATAGACACGCAGATAAAATTTCACCCGGTCGATGCTTCTTAGCAAGCTGCATAGACAAAATTTCCGGGCTTCGGCTTGACCAAAGTTTCAACCAAGCAGCAGCCTTCTGTTCATTTTTCTTTTCAACAATATTATCGAAATCCATAGTTAGATTGTTTGTAGTTGCAAGATAAATGAGAATGATACCAGACAGTGATAGTCAAAGATTGATAGTCAAAGAATGGGGTTCTGTCGTAACAAAAGGGGTTGTTTTGGATTCGGACTGTAGCATAACTCAGCGAGACCACTTCCCTCGGTCAGAAGTTCACATCCCATCTTACTGATGAGGCCAATAATATGTGTTGCTTCATTGAATTCCCCCTACACTTCAACTTCGTAATTAAATGTCAGCACGGCGACGATTGTTGACAATCTCGCGAAACCCGATGACTATGTAGTTATGTAACTAACTAACGTAATTCCCAAGCGAGCTGCGCAGCGCAGAACACATAGTAAAATCGATAAATTATAACATGGTATTTCAACAACCAACGCTTTTATTTAATTTCATTACTGGCCGATAGGAATTGATAAGCATTTATAGTATCAAATATCAATTTTGAATAAATCGAAAACTTGCATTGTTATGGTATCGAAAAATACATCGCTGAACCCTAGAAATATATATTTCTGAGTCATTACTCATTCACTAGTTTATTAAATCCCTCCAAACCCTCATAAGTGGCTAGATATCATATTAAAAGCATTAGGCTAGAAGGAAAAGCTCATATAGATAACCGTTGTTGAGATATCAGGTTGTAATTTATCACATTTACTATGTGTTTTGGAGATGGCGGGTCGTATGTGGTGGCGGCTCGTATGTGAATTGAGCATCACCCCAGGAATGAAAAACGAGTTGCGAGATGTTTGAGCACTAGGAGATTGTATACTATGGTGTGGTCTATGTGATCCCTATGCTTGCTAGCTGACCCTCCTGGATGGTTGGTGTTGTTGTGTCGTTCTCGTCTTGCCTGCATGGCCAGGCTGCCCATCGTGCATTTCCCTCTTCAATAGCTATATAGTTATGTAAGGATGGATGAAATTACTCCATACGCCAAAATATGTACTATCTCCTATATAGTTACCGAGCTCCGAGAAGTGCTACATGTATAGTTGAATCCTCTGTATTCCTTCGCTATCTTATTGGCCTGGGGAGATGACGATCTGAGAATTAGCCAAGCAACACGATATAAGCCAATAATATAAATAAAAAGCGAGCTAGGAGAACTAAGTATTTGACATAAGTGTGAAGCAAAGACCAACGCCATGACATGCTTGCATCCTTGCCTTGGAGGCAGGTTGTACATTAAGTGAAATGACAACCCCATCAATCTACCAGATGTCTGGCCCTGATCGGCTTTTACACTAACCAGGGAAAACAACCGTAATAAAAAAAAGACGGGTCAATGTTCAGTCTAATCCTTGTCCTTGCCGGTGAGTCTCTGTCTCTCATTTGAATTGCGAGGAGACTCTTCATCATCGGACCACCTCTCAGCATCCTCTTCACCGACTGCGAATATTGTCTCCTCGTCGAGTGACTCACGATGGCGGGGCGCCGAGGAGAAGGGCTTGGGAGGAACTGGGGAGAGGTCACGGCCCTCGGCGGCTGAGCTGCCAGGATAATCCGGGGGAGCGTCATAGGCATCTTCTTCATCCAAACCACTGCCGAATGATCGAATCTCGAATCCATCGTCGTCTTGAGCAAGCTATAAGGGGTGTTAGCATCTCGATTCTGCTCTTGTTCATGTAGGGAAGAGCTCCATACCTCATCACTCATGGCGAAGCGGCGGTTGTTGACAGTTGGTCGCCACAGATAAGCCACAAATGCGATATCGAACAAGTAAACCAGGTTTAACCAGCCATCAAGAACGAACCATCTCGCCTTCCAGTGTTCGGGCACAAAGCTGGCGTCACTGCGTCCAGCGAAAGCGAATGAGTTGATGAAGAAGAAACCAAAGATCACAATGATGCTGCCGAGGATGCACCACCACAGCTTCTTGTACATCATCGCCTTGGTCTTTTGCTTTCTGTCAATAAGATCCTTCATCGTTGCGTTCAGGGAATTCAAGGTCCACACGTAGAAAGCTGTCAAGGTTCCGGCAAGGGGCAGAACAATCAGAAGCACTAGAGGACCGGCGCTATCAGGGGTGATCGAAAGACTGGCAACCGAGTAGACGACCGCGAAAACAAAGTGACCAATGGCCAAAATGCGAACATAGATCATGGTACGGCCCAATGAATGCTTGACCACGCCGTAGCCCATGCAGACAATTAGGAGGAGGAAGAAAGAGAAAGCATTTCTGCCCGCATTGAGTACTGCTACAATGACCATGAGGGCCTTTGCGCCGCCATTCAGACCATGGCGGTTTTGGTATTCTAGAAAAATCAGATGAAGTCAAGCAAGGAATCAATTGTTGTCTCTTACCATAGAATCCCCACGTCATCAGCTGCTCGACGATCAGGAACACCACAATTGCGGTGATATAGTTTTGGACGGGCACTATCCAGTATTAGCATGGCTCGGATGGTAGAAGGGAACCCAACATACAAATGTCATAACGGTTCTGCACGTAAAGGAAGGCCCAAAATCTGAAGTTACGCGTAAGCATTTACTCCAAAACCTATCGAGTCCGTCGATTTTGCAAGTTACATACGCTCCAATAACAGCGTACACGATCGTCAAGGCCCCATAAAATGGAAGCTTTGCGATTTGTGCAGCGGGAAGTTCGCCGTATGAGTTTCGGAAGGTAACCACTGCTTTGTAATCCTGCCCGGAGTATGCATACGTGCTAACGCAGTAGAATCCAGTCTTTCTGACAGGGTATTTCACGGCGTCGGGGTTGTTGAGGTGGATTGCTTTCGATATGATAGGGCTTTTGGAGACGTCAGTGGCATTGCTGGTGAGAACAAAAGAGCCGAGCTGTTCTTGAGTGCATATTTTTGCCTCAACATTGGAGGCATCGCAAATTGTTTCCTTGACCTAAATCCAATAATTAGCCGCGTCGGTCGTGCCCATGAAGTTGACAGACATACCTCAGCATCGCCGGACCGGTATTGGCCAATCAATCCCTCATCGGACCATTCGAAGATTACCAAACTAGCCAAAGGATCACTTTCCTGAGCTTCCGACTTGGTAAATTTCACCAAAATGAAGGGATCAACATCTCCTCCCCAAGCCTTGCGACTGTACATCCCTGAGCATCGTTGTCGGTGCGCATCATCGGATTTCTGCAGAACAACGTTAGACTCTGACAATTTCCCATAGTGGAGTGCAGGGACATACTAGTTCAGCATCATTAGCAAGCGCATAGCTTGCCAATAGGGCCGTCAAGCCCAATGTCTGGAGCCAGCCCTTCATGGCGACCGTAGAGTTGAAGCGAGACTATGCTCCGAGATTCAGGAAGAGGCCTTTAAGACCACACAGCATCAAATAAAGGAATATGAGCAAGAATAAAGAGAGCCGAATATAGTAAGGCGTGTTTAGAAAAAGGGTTGTAAGGCTAAGGTGTTCTTTAACCCGATGGCCCTAAACCGGGGAAGCCGCGCGTGGCCATTATCTAAGCGGGCACCGCCACCATTTTTTAGTTTCCAGCTTTGGTCGCCTTTTTTTTTCAATGTCGAGTCCAGAGTCCAGGTTTAATAGCCCAATACTTTACAGCAGTCATTATGCCAGCAAAGGAACTGAGCAAGTCATGCATGGAATGCAAGGATGCAGAATTCGACCTCATTGCCCGGAAGAGGCAGCTTTGCAGGTATGCGACAAGTCGACAATCTACAACCCCTCCAGCTCATAGTTTCTGACTTAATTTTTTTTTCTAGCTCATGCTTTAGGCGCTTCATAGCACACAAAGTTCAGTCGCGCTTGAGTGTCTATAGAGCTTTTGGCCTGGATGGCCCTAAAACCCAGTTGCTTCTGCCTGTGTCTTTTGGTGTTTCCTCCTCGGTCTTGTTGCATATATTGAATACCGATCGACAACATCGCCTGGACAATGGACGCCCGCTGGGATACGACTTCAAGATCCTGATCATCGAACCTTCGACTGTTGCGGCTACAGGCGTTCCATTCGATAAGAACTACGAAGCTCTTGAAAAGAATTTCCCGATGCACACTATCAGTCGGATACCTTTTCATAGCATCTTCGACCATGTCCCGGAAGTGGAAGATATCATGCAGGAATATGCAGGATCAAAATTCACAGATGACAGCGCTCGGTCGAATGAAGACCGCTTAGCTGCCTTCCGTGCATCTATTTCCACCCCCACTTCTAGGGCCGACGTTGACACCGTCTTGCTGACCAGATTGATCGTTGAATTTGCGAAAAAGTCTGGCTGTGAATCTGTGATTTGGGGTGACTCGGACAGCCGTCTGGCAGCGAAAGCACTTGCGGGTGTCGCCAAGGGACGTGGGGCTTCCCTCACCTGGCAGGTATCTGACGGCATGTCTCCTTGGGACGTGCGGTTCGAGTACCCGCTCCGTGATCTGTATAAGGCTGAGTTACTTCAATATGCGAGCGTCTGTGCCGAGCTCTCTGATATCGTCATACCTGATCAACCGCCCTCCGAAAATGTCCTTACCAAGAACCTCTCTATTGACGAGTTGATGCTGCGATATGTCCAGAACCAAGGTGCAAAGTATCCAGGTGTCATGGCGAATGTGGCCAGAACTGCGAACAAGCTGAACCCCTCCACGTCTGATAATGCACCAACGTGTGCTCTTTGTGCTAGCCTGGTGGGAAATGTTCAGGGTAATTCCGGAGTTACTGTTGCGAATCAGGCAGAGGATAACCACAGCTCTCAATTCTGCTACGGATGTATGAGGTCTCGACCAGGGGAGCTTTGCTGAAGACAAACATTCTTGATTCGTGACAAAATTAAATGAACTAACTAACGGCGAACATCCCGCATTACCTAAAATAATCGACAAACAATCTTGGGGTATCTGGAATTACGATTTCAATATATTCATGCACCATGCATTACCTCGCTCCACCTCGCTCCAAATCATGTTCTGGATGATCCGCACCGCCGAACCATCTGCCAAATGACTTGTTCCGGGACTGTTTGGCCGGCTGGGGGGCATCGTTGCCCCTTCCCCCATGACCTGAAGGTCGCACATCGTCATAGGCCGGTGGACGGCCACCCACGACTCCATCTTCTTGTCTGTCAAATGTATCGGGAAGACTGTTGTCGACTTCCACTACTCGGTCCTGCCTTCTTTCGCCCTGCCGCGAGGCCGCCTTGGCACCCTTTTGGCGCAGATGAGTTTCGAGAATGACTGCATTTCGGGTATTCGCTTTGTACACTGCATCGGCAAGATCACCAATGAAGGGGACGAGGCCAAGGACGAAGTCGAGAATCACATTGATCAACATCTTCATGCGCAAAGCAGCAGGAAGTCCACCTTCAATTCCTTCGCAAGATTTCACAACCATCATCGCGAGCGCAGCATCGCCAATATCGCCAATGCTGTTGTTCACTTGTTAGAATTGGTCTCCTCCCGGTGCAAGTGTGATAGATCCTGGTGAAACTCACAATGGAATTAGTCCAATCACACTTCCCCAGCCGAAGCGGATTCCGCACAAACTGAAAAGAGCATAGTCCAGCTGGTAAGCTCTGCGTTTGACCTTGGTCAGGACCTTGGCATCATGCTCAGAGAGCCCCGGCGGGATGGCCTTGCGACGCTTTTGAGTCTTTTTTCCAAATGTACGACCGAGGCGTGAAGCAGGAACTTCTTCGAAGTAGGGGTCCTGGGTAGATAGAAAATATTGGGTCAGCCTGATCTCCCTTCGCAAAACCAAATGAATGTCGGTCGGTCAAGTGGACTCACCTCAGTACCGAAATGATTCTTAGCGGTTTCACCTAGCACCTTTTTGCTAATCAGAGACACTAGAATTTTCGACATCTTTGTTTTAGATCAACCGTGAGGTAAAAGTAGTTGCAGAAATTGAAATCTTCACGGGAGAAGGGCTGAAGAAATAGACGAATGTTGAGCAAGGGCAACTAAAATAAACAATGCACATATAGCCTTTGATCCTTTCAGGCCCTAAACGCTTCCTGGTTGGATAGATAGGTGTTTCGGTAGGCGCTCGTTTCACCTATATTCAGCGAAGACAAAGGGCGCGTAAGGATATTTGAGGAAGGTGCTTGACTTTGAAACGAGGAGGATTAATATAGCAATTCCCAAAAAACACCAGGAGATCAACAGTCAGGTAGCGCGACAACACGTCATAACCCGAGAATCTTGGAACCCACAGCACAGCCACATTCATATGTGGCACATTATTTTGGTTCATCACCGCCACACATTACCTTAGTCACCCGATCACCATCTTGGGCAGCTCAGATCATTGCTCTGCTTCCCAACACCTCAACTCTTTTCTCTGACTTGATTGGAACCTCGACTGCTTTCGCATACTGTACTTCCTGCTGAGATTATTCTCCGCCATATTCCATTCACCATATCCACACAGCCCTGGGTTGGTCCACCCTCCCTGGAAGCTGTTCCCTCCACCCTGTTGCTTGCTTATTTCGACCGTTTGCGCTGTCGGATTGAGTGAGCAGTTATTTCTCAGCCAACAAGGGTTTGAAATGCCAGAGTCTACCTACCGATATGATCGAAACAAATATGCGGTTAGAAGATTGTGAGTGCCTGGTTGATCGATCGGGATGACGACGGGCTGCTGACTGAGGCCGGTGGGCCGTTGCTAACAGGGCTGGATGATTTGTGCGTCCGTTTCATTATCAATCTTCCGCGCGAGGAGCTTGAGTCGGTTGAACGGATATGTTTTCAAGTTGAAGAAGCACAATGGTTCTACGAAGACTTCATTCGTCCGCTTGACCCCGCGCTACCGTCAATGAACTTGAAGACATTTGCTATGCGCATTTTCCAACATTGCCCGCTTATGTCGTCATGGTCTCATTACCATCATTTGGCTGCCTTTCAAGAATTCCTTGATTACAAGACGCGCGTGCCGGTCCGCGGTGCAATCATGTTGAACCAAGATATGGACGAGGTTGTTTTGGTTAAGGGCTGGAAGAAGGGCGCCAACTGGAGTTTTCCCCGTGGTAAAATCAACAAGGGCGAAAAGGATCTTGATTGTGCTATTCGTGAGGTCTATGAAGAGACTGGGTTCGATGTTCGGGAGGCCAACTTGGTTAAAAACGACGACGATGTTAAATACATTGAGATTACGATGAGAGAGCAGCATATGCGACTCTACGTCTTTCGAGGTGTGCTCCGTGATACTTACTTTGAACCGCGTACCCGAAAGGAAATCAGCAAGATTGAGTGGTACAAGCTTTCAGAGCTGCCAACGCTGAAGAAAAATAAACAGCACGATGAAGGACTTGCAGTCGCAAATGCGAACAAGTTCTACATGGTTGCCCCGTTTCTCAGCCCACTGAAAAGGTGGATAGCGCAGCAGAAGAAGCTTGATGCGAGAGCAAATCAAGTTGCACAGGCTGAGGGATATCTTTCTATGGATGAGAATGGCCCTAACAATGGCACTCCAGGGATGTCCCTCGCAGAAATGGCCATTCCAAGTGATCTTCCTGAGGTGACCTCAGCGCAAGATGCTTCGGATCACCTCAAACGCCTTTTGAACATCTGCGCCGCACCGGCGCAAGCTAATACACCAGGCCCCGAGCCAGCTCGGGCTTCTGTCGTTGACCCATCCAAGGCGAGTGGGCTCCTTGCCTTGTTGCAGCGTGGGCGTCAAGAGATATCCCCTCGGGATTCTCTCAGTAATGCTATGGCGCCACCTAATGCATCTCAGTCCAACGTCCAATCTGCAGAACAACGGCCTCATGTGGGTCCTAATTTCTTCCCCGGCTTCCCTCAGCAGCAGCAGAACATGGGTCCGTCTCCTTTCATGCGGCAGAACTCGACACCATTCCACACCGTCCCATCCCAACCTCATATCCAGCACTTCTTGAATGGCCCACAAGCTCTTCCCGGTAATGCATTCCCGACTAGTGCGCCTAATTGGTATCCTAAACCTAACGCGATACCACAATTCCCCCAAACCACCACTATGTCTCAATATCAGCACCATAATCAGCCTCCTATGGCCCCTGGCGTTCTGAACCCGAGCCATATGCCCGCACCGTTTCAACGGACAGGAGACCCTGAGTTTTCTGAATCCGCTCAGTTATCTCAAACCCGGGGCCCAGTCGTTCCACCGGCGAGCAAATTGCCTCCACCGAAGCTCACAAGCCATTCCCTGGCGCTCTTGGAAGCCTTCAAGGTTAAGACCCCCAAGGGCCCGGGTCCAGCGAAGTTGGCGGCTCCCATGCAGGGCTCTTCTCACGCGCGTAAGACGTCTCAGCACCAGGATAGTCTTTTGGGTTTGCTCAAGGGTGCGCAAACTGCCCGCGTTTCTGAACCAGCGGAATTGTTAGGCAATCCCGTTGTACCCTCTGCGGCGCCTTCAGAGAAGCAGATTCTTCAGCGTCCTCGCGATCACCAACCCACGCACCAGACTGCCGCAACGAGAAGCCTTCCGGGAGCAGGTCAGACATCGGCTACCGTGTCTGGACCGTTGAATGTGCCACAATTTGAGACATATGGCAAACCACCTAAGTCAAACACTGGAACAAACCGAAAGAACCACGTGAATCGGCGAGAGCAACCCCAGCTCCAGCAGCTATCGTCACCGATTACCATTCTATCGCGACCCCATTCTGCCAAACGGGAGATATCCTCGTCGAGACCCGTTGCACAAGCAACCCAGGTTCTGCCTGCGAAAATACCCGAGGCGCCTGAGCCTATCAGGAATTTCCAGCCGCAGATTCTGCGTCGGTCAGAAAAACCCGGGTATGAAGCATTAATGGCCACAGCTCCTCAGACAGAAGCTATTGAACGCAAATTGAGTTTGCCAGGTGTTGGGATCGATACCCAGGGCCTAGCCGCACAGGGCAACTTTGACCGTCGACCGAGTCAAACTGCTGAGCAGAAAGCTTCACTTTTGTCTCTCTTTAGTAAAGCGCCTGTCTCTCCGTCGCCCGTTTCTACGACCGCGTTCGACTCCCGAGCTGTCAACCAGCAGCCGGCAGCATTCTCGGGTTTTGTCAGCCCAATTTCGTCCCGCAATCGTCCGAGCAGCGGTGATTCTATTTCTCGGCATGGTACGCCATCCGATGCTGGCGCACACACCAATAGTCAGCAGGTTTCTTCTCCGAGCAACAAGGCGTTCTTGCTTGGGTTCTTGGAGGGAGTGGCCAAGGGCAATAAGTAGCTCCGTGGTCGGCCGGTTACAAGCTTACCTAGGTGGCTTTGCAGTAGCCCCTAGATAGGCACATGTGACATACATAGGAATAGTGTAGTATTGGAACCAATTATTTTTTTACACCTTAATAATCATTGTAGCTTCTAGACTTTGGAATTATTCAGGACGGAAGGAGTAATAACCTTTCTTACTGCCACGGTTCACCGCCCAACGTCATCGAGCTTTGTAAAGAAATAGATTAACTCACATTGGCTCCGCTACACCAACTCAGCCATGATGCGCCCGCGCCCCTCGGTCTGTCGCCGCTGCCTGGTCCGCCTCAGGCTATTCTCTACCACAGCACAGCGTACCGAACAGAGTCAAAATGCGCCCCTTCCGCCGACAGCAGGGTACAGCCGACTCACAAACCGCGGACTGATCTCCATCACCGGCATCGACAGCACAACCTTCCTCCAGGGCCTGATGACCCAGAATATGCTAGTCCCCAACGATCCGAAACGAAATATTCGACGCACAGGCGCATACACCGCATTCCTCAATTCGCAAGGCCGAGTTCTGAACGATGCCTTCATTTACCCGCTCCCCGGCGCAGAGGCCCAGGGTGCCGAGTCAGGCTGGCTAGTGGAGGTAGACAAAAACCAGGTCCCCGTCCTGCTGAAGCACCTCAAGAAACACAAGCTGCGCGCGAAGCTCAAGCTCCGCGCTCTAGAGGAAGGCGAGCGCACAATCTGGTCCTCCTGGAAGAACCACGCCGAGCCGCAACGGTGGGCTTCATACAGTCTAGAGTCAGAATCGCCATCACCATTCTCACCCACCTCCGAAATTGCCGGTTGCATTGACTCGCGTGCTCCGGGCTTCGGATCCCGCATTATTACGCCTGGCTCGGACGGTCTGCGCACCTATTTCCCGGATGAGGCTCAGGTCGTCGGGCCCGAGGTGTCGCTGGACTCATACACCGTCCGTCGCTTTCTGCACGGCGTTGCGGAGGGCCAGGCGGAGGTTATTAGTGGATCGGCTTTGCCTTTGCAGTGCAATATGGATATGGCTGGCGGTATTGATTTCCGTAAGGGCTGTTATGTCGGCCAGGAATTGACGATTCGCACTCACCACCGCGGCGTTACGCGGAAGCGTCTTTTGCCAGTTCAGCTTTATGATTTGGGTCACGATGGGCAAAGTGCCCCGGATACCCTCACATATGATCCATCTTTCCAATTGGCTTTACCTTCTGGTGAAGCAGATATTATTAAGGCTGGTGCCACTACCCGCCGAGGCCGCAGTGCGGGAACGTTCCTTCATGGCGTTGGCAATATTGGACTTGCGCTGTGCCGTCTTGAAGTTATGACCGATGTTGCGCTCATGGGTGAGGCTCCTGCTCGTCCTCATGAACACCACTTCAAGCTATCCTGGGCTCCGGAAGTCGAACAGCCTAATGAGGTCGGAGTACGAGCTTTCGTTCCGCCTTGGCTTAGAGAGTTCATCTCGGGTGGCAAAGAGGAGAAACCCGCTCCCCGTGATCGTGAAGCAGAAGAGGAGCAATTAGAGGAAGAGGAAGAGGAAGCCGAATCGCACCGAGACTGAGGTGTTTAAGTGTATACTCACTACACACATGTATAATATAACACAGCACAAAATGTCATATGTAAATAGCTTTTGTATCTCTATTCAACTCAACGTTGCAAATACAACATGCTCTGGGGTATCTCTTGAATCTAAATACAATGGTAGAATTAGGATAAACCTTTCCAAAAATGCGGAAATGGAAGTAGCCTCCATGGGAGAGCTAGGTGCCCTTCGCTGCCGCTGCTGCTGCTGCGTCTGCGGCCTCGTCTTCTCGTAGCATCTCTTCTTCGAGGGCTTTGCGCTCCTTCTCACGCTGTGCGCTCTTCAGCCGCATCATCATCACCTCCTGCAGACTTGGCGCGGCTGGAGCCTGAGTGGATGGGTTGAATGACGTTGCACTCGGGGCAGCTGCCGCAGCAGCTGCAGAAGCGAATGAGCCAAACGAGGGCGCTTTGTCAGGTGGGGGAGCTGTTTTCAAGCCCTGGAAGTTGAATGATGATTTAGTAGGCCTGCTGGAAGTGTCGACAGAGGGCCCTGGTGGTGGAGGTGCAGGCACAGCCTGGTCGGGCTTGGGTGATATACCAGGACCTAGATCAGGTTGGTTGCCGGAGGCCCAGAAGACAGACTCGATAAGGCCCCATTCGCCATCTTGACCAGCATGTTGACGAAGCTTTTTCTCGCTATCGAGAACGGCGGTATGGGCGCTCACAATAGACGTGAAAACCACCACGCCCGTTGCAACAGTCTTCTTCTCCTTGTTGTCTCCGATCCGTTGGCGTTTATCTTTAAGCGCAAGGGTATTCTCGATCGTTCCGAACGGCTTGAACAGCACCGCAAGCTGTTCAATATCAAGCTCCAACCCACGACCCTCCCGCACCCAGCGCACTTTCACCGCACGCTCGAGCTCAGGGACTTGCGCGCCACCACCCTCCTTCGAGCGATCCACGCGCTGGCTACTCCGATCCGCCGCCTTGCGAGCCTCCTCTTCCTGCTGTTGAATCTTCTTCCGTTCATCCTCAAGCTCCTTCTTAGCCTTCTCCTCAGCCTCGCGTCGCCTCCGCCGCCCATCCTCCGCAATCCTGTCAATCTCCCGCTGCAGCTTCTCTTCCGCATCCTCGTCCCCGTCCGCCCCCCATGACCTCTTGACACCTTGCTTGATACCGGCGCCGCCCATTTCGGCGGCGCCTGCCCTCTCCCGCGCTTCTAGGTCTTCGCGCATCTTTCGTTTCGCCGCTCCCATCATGTCCCGCTCGCGCTGTTTGCGCACCCGCGCTTCCCGCGCATTGTCGTAGAGCTGCCGCACTGATGTGTCGGAGAGGACATCGTAGGCAATCTGGAGGAAATGGAATTTGTCGATGTCTGCTGCGGTGGGGTTTTTGATTTTGTCCGGGTGGTACTTTAGTGCGGTGCGGCGATATGCGCGGCGGATTTCGGTTTCAGTGGCTGCTGGTTGGATGTCTAGCAGGGCGTAGAAATCTTGGTTCGAGGCGGCGTGCGCCTTGAGATCGTCGTTTGGCATCTTGGTGGTTTATGCGACTGGTGTCGCCTTGGAAGTTTGCGGAGATGAAGTGGAGAGTTTGATGTGGCGGTTTTCGGCTATGTGGTTGCTCTATCAGGGTGTAGGGTTATAAAGAGCACAGTGATAGTCCCGAGAGGAAATTAACCCTAGATTAGAGCTCTTGAACCGAGGTTGTTGTTGAGATTGAGACTTGTAGGTTCGAGTTCAGAGCTTGGGCGGTGGATGCGTTTCGCCTCAGGCCGCCAACCAGTATACTATGAGATCCCAATTGCGAAATAATCAGCAAATCTGTTATTTAAGCTGCTGAATTGAAACAAAGCATTCAGAATTCGGAATTTCGTCAGGCTTTGGCCTTAAATTTTTGAAAAATTAAGTCTGGTTGTTATTACGACTAAAATTGTACGATCGAGGTAGAGATATATAATGCCTGGGCACGTGTGCATCTTGAGTTTCTATTTCCAACCTGTAGATGGTAGCTCTTTTACCACAAGCCATGACCCATTCAAGCCAATTGACAAGATGACAACCATGTCAACATCTAAACTTGGTGTTACGCCTCCAACCAAGCTTCAATTAGCCCTGGCATTGGCTGTTGTCAAGGGAAAACCACCAGGGCAAAGCGTGAAAGGTTAGGCGAAGATCCAACTTTTATAGACTTAAACCATTCGATTATTGACTATACATTCTAGAATACATTTTGCAGATTCGGCAGTTCATTAAAAAGACCAAGGACTTGGGCCAAATTGTTGCAACAGACAAGTTCTTCGATAGCGTCTCTTTCTGGCAACAGGCATACGAACGGTCCGAGGCAGGACAGAGCAAGCTACAAGATCAAGTCCATGAGCTTAACCAGCGTATTGAAGGCCTTGTTGCCAAACTGCGTGTCAATGGCACTGCAAATGACAATGAGAGCTTGCCGGCAAACAAACGCAAGGCGTCTGCTGTTGGCAAGAATGCGAATAGTTCGAATATGGCCAGGAAACGCATAAAGCTACCAAAAAATATGCAGAAAAGCATACCATTGATGGATGATGATGATTCAGGAGAAGAAGATGGTATTTGATTCCCCTTTCATCGACCGACTATGATGATAACTAATGTCATTACAGTCTTATGTCTCACCAGGCATCTGCATACCGTTCAAAAAGCCCTGCAAAGAAGGGCAACTAGCAGCTCTGAGGCTAATTCTCTGGCCGTGAAGGCAGTCATCCTCTGCAAATCTGCAGAACAAAAACTGATCCAAACTATCCAGAGGGAGAGCAGTATGACAGAGCAGAAACCTTCCCAGACAGGGCAAGCCAACATGCCGGATACACATGATGTTATGAATGGTGTGACAGTTGCTTTCCATCTCACACACAAAGTATTGCACAAGATTGGCGGAGCGAAGAATAGAATGCAGCACCAAGGCCAAGTCATCTACTACTTAGTAGGTCTGTTCGAATCAACTATGACAGCACTCACTCTGCAGTGTACTTCAATGTCAAAGTCCAAGCAAAAGTCAGTCATCAAAAACACCAAATCAGGTGGAGACCCAAAGTCTGCCACGCAACCCGAAGAACAAAGCAAACGTACAAAAGTGAAGAGCCTAGCTACCAAGAATGAAATAACCTCTCGCCTTGCAGACCTGCTCTGCACGATGGCACTCTCCCTCAATCTAACGCGTACTGAAGACCAGGAAGTAATGGAAGGGTTTCTCTTCCTTGTCATTGATCGAATGGGCAAAATGCTAGCTCTTCACGTGTTCCATGACCTGCGATTGCCAATGGGCATCTGCCCCGGGATGACGTTCCCAGACGGACTGGAGGCAATGACTGACGAGTGTCTTGGGCCGAACGAGGCACAACTGGAAGCCAAGTATCTGATTCGGCTTCTGGATAGAATGCTTAATGCCGAGCCCCGTCAATCACCCCTCGAGGCATCGGCTGCTCGGCAATTTGTCACAAAAGCCAAAGATCGTCTGCAAAAGTCTCTCCTCCGGGCTGTATTCGGACCTGATGATCATCTGTTTCGGGAGGGCCTGCGGCGTCCGCATACTCCGCCTCCTCAGGTACTTGAGAGTAAACAGATGGATCAGAGAGAGTTTTCGGATTGGCTTACACAGGAGCTGTGGCGGCTTGTTGGTTGGGATGTGTTGAGGACCGTGGTTGCTCCAACCTAAAGCCTTAGATCATGACTACATTTGTCTTATGTTTGTTCACTGTGCTCCTTTATACCTCATTGTTATTGGTATTATATCTACAGACCGTATAGCGATATTTATGCTAGATAGTATATGTGCTTATTCAAGTTTCAAAACACGAACCGCATTGCCACCCAAAACAGCAGCCACAGCCTCTTTTTCCCCCTCGAAAGTCGCATCAATAGCTTTATAATTTGTTGTCACACTGATCCATTCCTTCTCGCCCTCATTTAGAGGCGGGAAGAACGGATGATCGGTACCTATGTTATATTAGCTTGAGTCCACCTACCAAAAATATAAATGAAAACATACCAAACATAAGACGATCAGTACCTCCCCCGGCAGCAACAGCAGCCTTGAGCCCAGCAGTCCCATAGACGACAGCATCAAGGAAGATATTTGTCTTCAAAACCTCCCAGATACTCCTTTGCGGGCCAGGGACATCGCCACCATTCTCCACAAACTTCCGTTCATGCATAATACAGCTCTCGATGCGCCCCGCCAAAAATGGCAAAGTGCCGCCCGAATGCGCCAGCAGGATTTGCAGCCGCGGGAATTTGTCAAAGACACGGGACAGCAGCATGCGAGTAACCGCAATGGTGGTCTCAAGCGGGAATCCCAGCGCCAGGGGGAGGACATGACCGTAGCGCTTTGTTACCTCGGGACCACCAAAGGCCTCATCAGGGAGACCGTAATGAGGATGCAAGAAGAGAAGGAACTGCGTTTCCTCCAGAGCAGCCCAAACCGGACCGAGCGCTTCATCATCGAGACCATTTCCCAGCCCGGAGGTCCCCATAATCACGCCGTGGATATGAGGCAGGGTCTTAAGTCTCTTGATTTCGTTAACGATGATATCTGCGCTGGGTGCGCTCAGCGGCAAAGTCGCAAATGCAAATAAAGTCGACCTCCCCTGCAGAGGGAGAGTGTTGTCCGGGTCAGTGGACTTATTGTTCTGGGCACAGGTTTCCTCTAGATCGTTGTTGATGCGCTCGGCCCATTGTTGGGCTTCGGCGGGATCGAGGAAGTCTAGCCAGGGATTTGCGAGAGAGATCACGCTGCAGTCAATGCCATGTTGTTGCATGAAGGTTAGCTTGACATTGATGTCGGAGTAGGATGTGTCGACGGGACGGCCGCGCTCGTCGATTGGAATGGATGGGTCATCGTCTGATGACAGGATTATCAGGCGCGGTTCTCCGCTCGCTGGGTCGTGGATGTAGGGGACTGTCTTGCGAGCGCGTAGCATCGCCATGTACGATGGAGGGTACACATGGGTGTGGACATCGACTACTAGAGGGCGCGACATATTTGGGAATACAGATAGAATAGAGGAAAGGGAAGAAGAGAGAGGCAGGGGTATCCAAGTTTGGATATCCAAGTGAGGGGAGGAATAGATAAGAGCTGTTGAGCGGGGACGCCCCTCTGAAGCGCGGAGATGTTACAATTCCTTTATCTCCGATAAGTCTGGTCTGTGGTCTTTTGATGTTACGTACAGAAGAGGAATGCAATTTGAATGTGCTATCGCTTGATAGAGGAGATATACAGCTTATCATTAAAAATGCCAAGGCCCTTCAAGACTCGATTATAATCCATTCCCATTTCATTCATGGGCAACTATCAATTTCAGCGCTGAAGCAATCATCAACATGCAATTTGACATACACTCATGAATACTAGAGCTCGGAACCAGCCAGAGTGATAGGCTTCACGTTGGTGAAGTTGGGCACATCGGCAAACACCCCCGCACTGGCAGGGTTCTGCAGAGCAGCCTTCACGGACTCCTCACTCTCCCACTGGAGAGTGGTGATCACCAGATACTGAGGTCGCGAGCCATCAAGCGCGGTGGTGAACTTGGTGACATGCCAGCTGATCAGGCCGTGGCTCTTCCAGATGTTTTCGATGAGTGGCACGTGGGTTTTCATGTAGTAGGTCTCGTCAAAGTGGACGTCGACCTCGTTGGGGTACATAACAAGGACGGTGTGTGTCATTTTGGCGAGAAAGGGATTTGAATGAGAAAGGGAAAGATAGTGTATATTGGAAATGGAGGTGATGAAGGAAGCCTTGGGGTTTTAGCTACTACCGAGGTCCGTACTGGAGTGATTCCCAATCAGCTTATTAATGTGCAAGTGGACATTTGGAACCTTCGAGGTGGAGGGCCGAGGCCTTGATATGCAAAGTACGGAGGACATGTCGGAAGTAGCAGATCCAAAACGTAAAGCATGAGCATATTCAACGCATAACTATCTCATGCTCATTTTATTCATCTTGGAACCAATAAAAAGGGTTAATCCTCCGTAGTTATACATCAGCACTAAGGATTAGTAAGGTTGACTGGCCCCGCCTAACCTTGGAACCTTGGCGGGGTCAAACCTTCATTTGGAGTAAATAATGATGCCTGGGTGCCTTGGTGCCTGGTTTTGGCCTGGACACTTGAATTAAGACCGGCAGAATAACAAATGAAGAGCGGTATAATAAGCGGCCAGGAACCAGCCCATCATTTATCTCAACCTTCACAATGGCTCGAATTATCAGCCTCCGAGCTGTGAGATGGGGCGTAATTGTGCTCGCCCTAGGCATTTTTTACAAGGCCTATGTGCACAACATTATCTTTCTCACAATCGGCATCGGCCGAGAGATCCAACCAATTGACGAATTCCCATGGACCTGCACTCGCCTCCAGCATCCTCTCTTAGAAGGATGTGAGGATATGTGGCTAGATGATCAAGGGAGGAAACTGTACGCAGCATGCGGCAATATAGAATCCAGACAGGGATGGAGTCCGGGTGGCAGAAAATACAACATCTCCGCGAGATCTCGCACGGATCATATCGCAGTGTTGAATATTGACCAACCCGGCCCGGACGGGCTGTATGGCCTCCATCAGCTGAAAATCAGTGGTTACCTCGGCGATCTGGATCTACATGGATTTGACGTGCGCAGTGTTGATGGCAGACTTCGATTCTGGTTGATCAATCATAGACCCGCAATCGAACCTGCAACAGGGAAGTTCCTTGATGCTCAGGCCGTTGGAGCGAATTCCACAATTGAAATATTCGATTTGAACGATGCCTCAGAGACACTTGAATATGTCAAGACTATAGCCAGTGACGCGATCATCTCGCCTAACAACTTGGCCGTTGACAAGGATGGCTTGGGCATCGTGATTACCAATGACCACGACGCCAAGGTCGGCACTTTCACAGCGTTGGGAATGTTGATTGGCGAAGGAAGCCTCACCTATTGTCGATCTGACACCGGAGAGTGCCATGTCGCTGCCGACAAAGGCTTTTCTTTTGCCAATGGCATCGTCCAGGAGAACGGGCTCTACTATGTGGCTCATTCGGTGACTGGAGTCGTCACTGTTCACAAATTAGTTGGAGACCAGCTGATTCAGGTTGACAAGATCTACACGGGATACCCGATCGATAATCTGTCCCTCGATGCAGATGGGAACCTCCTAGCTGCCGGATTTCCTGATTCCATTGCATTTATGAAGTCTACAGAGGACCCATACGGGTTTGTTGCTCCTGCTACCGTTCTCGCGGTCAATGGAATAGCCACTCAGTTGAGAACTCACAGAGGGAAGGATTGTAAGGTCACGAAGCTCGTGGAGGACAGAGATGCCAAATGGCTTCCTAGTTCGACTGTTGTGGTAAAAGATGTGAAATCGCACCGTTTGTTCCTCGGGGGAGTCTTGTCACCATTCATCACTGTATGTGAGCAGCGTATTTAGTTCCTTGATGTGCCCTCTTTTCAGATTTGAGATGCGAAGATCTATGTCGGTAGGGGTCACTGGCGAGGAGTGGGGGATGTGGGCTTGATCTGCGCTGTCAGTTTACGATCAAATGTACAGCAATCAAACCAAATGGCCTGATAACATTCCTTCGACGATACAAACAGTCAAATCTCCAACAAATCGAATATAAACGCTTATCTTCTGTCTTATCTGCCCAGCCATCCACGCTTATCTGTCGATGTATGCCGCCGACCTATGATATTCCCCTTCTCCGACTTTCCCCTCTTCTTGAGATCTTTTCTTTCCATTCGTGCACTCACTTTACAGGCTTCTGTCACTGTCTCGGTTCCTTCTTACAGCAACAGAGTTCATACAATTTCCCAGAAGCCGTGTACGCAATGATCTCCAACACCCCCGACAATCAAGCGTCTGCCGCGGTAGATAAGGATGATTTGAAGATACCAGTATGCTCTGTCTCTGGTTATTCCAAGCCACGACTAATGAGATCTGCTCTAGCTGATCGACTTCGGCCCATTCTTCACGGGGACCCCATCCGATAAACATGCCGTCGCTCTCTCCATAACCGAAGCCTTCAAAACATCCGGCTTCCTTTATCTAAAGGCCCATGGCATTCCACCATCCGTGGTGTCCGGGGTGTTTGCGTCATCTGCCCGTTTCTTCGCCCGCCCCCAGAGTGAAAAGGATTCCCTGGGCTGGACGACCCCGCAGTCGAACCGTGGTTACGTCGCTATCGGGCGGGAGAAGTTAACCACCGTCGACGAGACAACTGGCGTCGACACTCTTCGTGCGTCCGCACCGGATATCAAGGAGACTATGGAACTTGGTCGTGAGGGAGTCGAAGGCCTGCCCAATCGCTGGCCCGATCATCTCGACGATGAAGGAAAAGATTTCAAAAAAACTATGCAGTCATTCTTTGAAATGGGAAAGACCCTACATAAACATATCATGCAGGCCATTGCATTGGGAATGAATTTGCCGGAGCACTTCTTCGACGACTCTGTCAATGCCGGCGACAATAATCTCCGTCTGCTTCACTATCCTTCTGTCAGCAAAGAAGTCTTCAAAAATAACCCTAACCAAGTGCGCGCCGGCGAGCACAGCGACTATGGCTCAATCACTCTGCTTTTCCAGGATCAACACGGCGGTCTGCAAGTGCGCAGCCCCAAGGGAACCTTTGTGGATGCAACTCCCATCGCTGATGCTATTGTTGTCAATGCCGGGGATCTGCTTGCTCGATGGTCCAATGACACTATCAAGAGTACCCGTCACCGAGTAATTCAGCCACCCGTGCCCGAGGGCTCTGGGGATGATGCTTCGGACTATCCTGCTCGGTACAGCATAGCGTATTTTTGCCAGCCTAACAACGATAAGCTTATTGAAGCGCTGCCGGGAACGTTTGGCGAAGAAATCCAAGTGGCCAAGAAATACTCGCCGATTACTTCAGGCGATTATCTGGTCCAGCGATTGACAGCGACTTACTAAATAGTTGAACCATGACCTTGAGATTGGCCTGCGAAGGTCATTTTCGTTTCGTGCTTTCATTTGCCTTTTACTCATGAGCGTTTAAACATTCATATCTGGAAATCAAGAACTCTACATATCTCTATTTTCATTGAAGCTCAGTACAGCCAATGTATACCACTGCACTTGGCCTGAACGAAACCTCACTCAGTACACAGCAGGGCAAACAGAAATCCGGCCACCATCAGTAACTAAGATATTACCATTGATATAGCCACCCGAGTTACTAGCCAGCCAAACAATCAAACCCGCAAAATCCTCCTCACTACCACCGCGAGTAGCCGGAATCATGTCCCTCGGGAATGAGCCGTCAGAAATCGCGCGACCCTCAATACCCGCGGCCTGGAAGATATGATTGGCCATATCCGAGTAGTAAAGACCCGGCGAGATGCCATTAACCCGAATACCGTAATAAGCAAACGAAGTGGAAAGCATCTTGACCAGATGGGTCGTAGCGGCCTTGGAAGAGTTATATGCGAAGCTGAACGGCACTTTGCGAATAAACCCAGCAATGGAGCTAGTGATAATAACCTGCGCAGTCGGGGCAGCAAGAACATCCTGCTGCGGCGCAGGACGGCGCTTATTGGCCGCTTCCAGCAGAGGCAAGAACGCCAGCACCGTGTAGTACGACCCGGTAACATTTACATTCATCACTTTGTTAAACTCCTCCATGGGGATATTGAAGAGTTCATCGCGGACTTGCGACAGCGGCGGGAGGGTCCCGTCTGCTGCGGGTTGCGGGGGCTTCATGAGGGGACCCATTATGCCGCTGTTGGCGATTAGGAGGTCGACGTGTGTTGTTTGGGCGGCGATGGCGTTGTAGGCTGCCTCGAGTGACTCTTTTGAGGTGATGTCGCATTGGATTGGGATGACGGTGCCGTTTATGCTTTGCGAGACGGTTTCTTGTAGCGCGTCTTCGCGTCGGCCTAGGATGAAGATCTTGGAGACTTCATTGGCGTCCAGGGCTTTGGTCATGATACGTCCGAGGCCTGTGTTTCTGTTAGCTTACATGTACACGTTTGTATCTGTGATATGATTTGGTTCTTACCACTTCCGCCGCCGGTGATCACGACCACCCGGTCCTTGACTGAGAATAGGTTCGATGCTTGAAGATGGGCCATGGTGGTTAGTTGGGCAATTTGATGGTTTGGATGAAGAGAAGAGAGGATGTCTTCTATAGAAATCAAGGCCCCGCGATATCGACATTCTGGGGTTTCTCTTTCCCCGCTTTGGATCGGCGACGCTGCCGAGAATAAATTATATCACGGAGGAACGCCGATTTCATGCAGTAACGCCGACTTTCCATTCATTTCGACATATTACAAATGTGTGTGTTAGAATGGGTTTGTCGAACGCTTGTGAATATTGGAACTATTAGTAATGTTGCATAAGTTTAGGGCAGCTCCATAGTTTCTCTTTTGAGCATACAGGATATCCACATCTAGATTTCCCATCCACACCAAAGAATTGTGATATTTCGATGATTTATGAATAACAGTCCTGACGCAAATAGTCAGGATCATTCCAGGTGCTAGCTCAAATATGCGATACGCGTGGCCAACTGCTCGCGGCTTATAGGTCACCCTCAAAAGTCTTTCTGGTGCAGGAACACAGTTAAATGGACTCTGTTAATTTGATATAAGGTCGCTTTTGATCTACACGGATAAGCTCGCCGATTGCCGAAAGAGAACAACATATAAGAACCCAAGCTATACGCTCCACTATTTCTAGTCTATGTTGGCCCACTTGCTGCATAACTACATCATACTTGATACAAACATTTAACTAGCACCTTGTCAAATCACTCAAAGCTTCTGAATGGCCAGGAAGATCCATGCAGCTGTCTAGCCTGCATGTAATAGTAACTGCAGCATCTGCCCAATATGGTTCTATTTGCATGATGTATATGAATAGGGTCACTTTGGTAACTCAGTAACTCGATGATGATATCCGTAACCCTACAGATCGATGATACCAGACCATTATCAGGGCTATTACAGAGTGCTAAGCAAAGAACACACCCAGTTATATATTATAAGGCCCCATAGAAAGGAAACTAGGTGCGGGAACGCTTGCCGATCCACTTTCGCCCGTAGAGCCTGTGACAGGTCATATGTCTGTATACTTCCTATTCGGGTTCTTCGTACTTCTAGAGTTTAATCAGAGCTCCGATATGATTTGCTCTTATACTCGGTTAAAGACTCCTCACTTTTAAACTTAAGCCACTTTTCGGCAATGCTCCTATCATATACGACATAGATTCAAGAAGCCGCATAAGCGCTACAGCATAACGAGAACCAGCGGTGAATTGGAACATCCATTAATGGTATGGTTAAATATAACACCATGGATATAGCGGTAAACTCTGCATGTCCGGCCGGGATACACGGCAAATCCTCATCGTCGCATCTTCTGGACAGATATGTAAATGTGCCACAAAAGAAGCAAATCCTCCCTAGTCCCCTTCCTAACCCCCTTCCTAATTTCCCCCTTCTCACAGCTCCCGAGGTTCCCCAAAGCCAGTAAGCACCTTTTCTGGAAAATTGCAGAGTTACCCACTGACTATCCAGTCATGACTCAATGGATCGGATCCCTGACCAGCCAGAATGGCAATTCTCTGGCTGGTGTATTCATGATCAACGGTGAGCCATGGGTATTCGAGAAGAATGCTCGCGGCCAACCGGCGGTTCCATTTCAACGGGCCCCTGCAGTCGTCAATATTCCTTGGAAGGAGCTCGAAAGCATCCGCCAGTCCCTGCAGAGTCGTGAACCTTTTACCGCGACTATTATGGGCTCTACTATGGAGATTGTTTGGTCTAATGGTGTGAGAATCACTGCCAATGTGCCCCATTGCGATACCTATGGTTACTTTTCGGGAGAGGGTGGCTGGCGGACGCAGTGAGATATGGTACTTAAGGAGTTGAGTTGATAAACTGCTCTGGCATTGTGTACTGCGACTTCCGGGCTATCTATATAGGAAAGACTGCCTCTCCATGGATTCCAGCGACAGAGCAATTCTATTTCTACCACTCTCATTGTTACATATTTATTTTGCTGATGGTTCAACTAAGTTCCGTATAGCCTTTCCCCCTTGTTCCATCAAACGCTATCCGGCATTGTCCGGTCGGATTCGATTTCCACCCCCACAGATATCTCGAATTGTACGTTAGTCTGTTCAGGCCCATGGAATGTTGGCAGTGCGCCGATGTCATCTGTTGCCGAGTATCCCGAGGATTGTTCTTTAAGTGGGGATTGCAGTATCTTGCAACTACTAGACTAGCCAAGTATACGAAGAACGTCCGCTCTGACGAGGATAAACACCATTCGGAATTCATCCCCGTTCAAAGCTACCCACATTTAGCTCTGAAGATGGTGTCTTCACCATTGTGTGATTTTCTAACGACCCTGACTTTGGATTGCCTTGGCTGGCGATGATATTGGCTGAAATAGCACTATATGTACTCTACGCAAGGTCCGTACCTATCCGGCTTTCCAACAATTACAACTGACCCAATGCTTTAATACCAGGGATAACGGAGCTTCTTCTTCTGTCTTGGATTAAAGCGATTTTGACCTTCACCAGAGATGATCTGGAACAGTATCATTCTGTTGAGCCTATTGAGCTTACTGCCTTTCACGGCTGCTTCTCCAAAGAAACACCAAAATGGCGGAACTACAACCGCTGACTCGCCATTGCCGACTGCAAATGCATCGGCTTCAGCGCCGCCACTTCTAAGTTACAACAGCTCCATGCTGTACACACCGTTTACTGGAACGCCGACGACCACATCTGCACTGACGGCTTCTTCAATCGGAACAAGCATCTCTCGCGGTGGGGTTGCCCCCGGGGCGACATCATATCCCAGTGATGGAAATCTTCACCATGCCGAGCCTGCTCCATATGTCCCGGCTGGTGGTGTCGGGACCAACGGAAGCACGCCCGTCTACAACGCGAAAAGCGATTTCGACTACGAGTCTTTGGTATGTATCCGCACGAAATTGACCGAAGCAATGTTCTGGTCCAGGAGCTAACCTGCAACAACCAGGCTCTGGCTCTATACCAGGAATGGATTGAGCTTGATCTGTTCCAAGAGGGACTCAGACGTTTCGACGAGGCAGCCTTCCGAGCCGCCGGTTTGACCGCTGCAGACCGCGAGGTGATCGCATTCATGGCGCAGCAAGAGATAGGCCATGCCACTATGCTCAGCAACATCCTCGGAGCTCATGCCCCGAAGCAGTGCAACTATATCTACCCGTACACCAACGTCAAGGAGTTTATCGACTTCTGTCAGAAACTCACTCGCTGGGGGGAAGCTGGCGTATATGGGTTCTTGGCTCATCTTGACTCGCGCGAGGCGGCCACTCTCTTGACTCAGGCCATCACTACGGAAGCACGGCAGCAATTGATCTTCCGCCAGTTCGAGGGTCTCTTCCCGATGGTCGAATGGTTTGAAGTTGGCATACCACAGTCCTGGGCTTGGACACTGCTGGCACCCTTCATCAGCTCTTGTCCTGAAAATCAGACCCGTGTGATTTGGCAGAATTTCCCGACGCTGATGGTGGTTAATCAGCCCGATCCGTGGAGTCCGGGGGCTTTTCGCAACTTGCCCTCGGGTAATAACCGAGCTACTAGGTATAACGCTACTGGGTACAATTTTACTTCGAGTGCCGATCAGATCTCAAGGCTTAACACGACTTCCGGGTTCAATCAGACTGCAGGGTTTATGTTCAATCAGACCACTGGAATCAACAATACTGTCGGACCAGGCGTCAGCATTCCCAAGTCAGCAAAAGGTTCCGGAAGATTTAATTCGTCTGGCTCAGCTAATGGCTGCGGCGCTGCTGTTAGCAAAGTTCGCCCAGTGCCTCTCTCGGCCCCGGGTCGGACGGTGTTATTGGAGTGGGATCTTCCTGGGAAGGAAATCGGTCCCAACAACAGCTACATCACCACAACCCAGACGGCAGCTGGTAGCGCAAAGTATGTTCTTTGGGTGTCGCAGCTGAACATTACCTATACCCCTTTGGAAATTGTCAATGGTACCAACAGCACCAACAGCACCAATAGTGCCAACGGCTCCAATAGTACCAGCAGTACCACTGATGGCATTCGAGGATATACTACCCAGCCGAGCCTGGAAACCTACCAAGGTGACCCAGCTTTCAATGGTACCATCTTTATTGCCATTACAGACAGCAATCCGTACGTGAGCCCATTCAACCTGAGCTTGATTAACCCGCATGTGGTTGCCGGTCCAGCTCTATACCAGGCTGGTTGAATGAGTGGCCAGTCCATGTATTGAACGAGTGTGTCAAAGGGTGCAGAGAATTAATTAGCAATAATGATGAATTTAGAAAAGTTTGTTTTCATATCTATCCCAAGCCTGAGAAATACAACTTAGACCTATGAGCCAACTGGCGATCATCTTAGCTCACCTTAACCCCGATTGATGGGGCTTATCGCCGAGTCCTCAACCTCAATTTCTCCACGTCAGTGTTTGTTAACTCTTTTCCCCCCACCACTCATTGTCCCTCCATACCAGCCTGAGCAAGATGGAAACACCAAGGAATCGAAAGCAGCGTCGTGCAGCAGCTGGATCTTCTAAAAACGACGAACTTGAAATAGCGATGGCCCATCCCCATCGCAATGATCCGACCAAAAACAAACCAACAGTCGAGCGCACATTATATGACATCATCGCAGAGCGACAAGGCGCACTTCATCAAAAGGGAGGATCAATTCCAGCTTCGGTGGAAGGACAAGGCATACCGTCGCAGTCAGGGGGAACCCGATTCGTGACAGTCGACGCGTCTGGGCAATTGGTCGACACCGACGGCGACATCAGCAGCCATCTCTCATCCAATGCCTCCCAAAAGGAGACCAAGAATAGTCAACAGGGTACAAATGATAATACTGTCAAGAAATCCGACTCCGAATCGGAACCCGACAAACCTCTTCCGCCATTCCTCGACACAATTCTTCTTTCCATGCCTCTCACAACCCTCCACCTCACCCTAGGCTACCTCGCAGCCCACCAATACGCCGAAAGAATCGACCTGCCAAGTCTCTTGAAAGAATCCGTGACAACCGCCTTCCCTCTCCTCACTTTATTCGTCCACCTCG